TTCGGATAATTGTAAAAAGAGGAAGAAAAAAAAATGTATTATTATATATTTATTATAATACCCTTGTGATTATAGTTCTATATTTAAATACTTATAATAAATTTGTATGAATATTTTTTTCATGAAAATAACACAAATGATGATAAAAATAAAAATCTAACATGTAGCATATATCCGAAATGATAAGATAGATAATGAATCGTCTCCATGGAATAATCGATAACTCGTTTATTAATTAATTAATCCAATAGCCAATTTAGATTAATTATCAACATAAAATTAATTTAAATATGTATAACATGTATTATTATCTATGCATATAATAAGTTAGTTGCTTTTACCCATCATTTTCTTCGTTTTCTTTTTAGAATAAATAATTACTATTTAGCAATTAAAAAAACAAGAGTATATGGTAACATTGCTAACAATCATGGAAAGTCAATTGAGTCACCAAAAATGAGACAAATCACAAATAATTTTTATTTCTTCTTTTGCATTAACTCTAAAAAGTGTTCGAGGGGTTGTCTTGAGGGATATTTTGTGTCTATTTTGGTGGGTTTTTTTGAGGGGTTTTTTGGGTGGTTTTGAATCTGATATGGGGGTGTTTTTGGAGCTTTTTTGGTGGTTCAAATGGCATTTCCAAAGGAGTTGCTCTGTAAGGGTTTTCAAGGGCTGTTGGTAACAGTTTCAGGTCTGAGTTTGGGGGCTTTTGGATAGGTGTTGGGTCTGTTTTGGGGTTGGTTTTAGACCTCTTGTTTGAGGGTTTTTTGGGTTTTTGTGAAGCTGGTTTGGGGGTGTTTGTGGAGCTTCATCGGTGGTTCAAATGGCCTTTCTAAAGGAGTTGCTCTGTAAGGGTTTTCGGGGGCTGTTAGTAACAGTTTCAGGGCTGAGTTTGAAGGCTTTTGGTTAGGTGTTGGGTCTGTTTTGGGGGTTGGTTTTAGGCCTGAATTTTTAGGTTTTTTGGGATTTTTTTGGGTGATTTTGAAGCTGGTTTGGAGGTATTTATGGAGCTTCTTTGGTGGTTCAAATGGCCTTTCCAAAGGAGTTGCTCTGTAATGGTTTTCAAGGGCTGTTGGTAACAGTTTTAGGGCTGAGTTTGAGGGCTTTTTGGTAGGTGTTGGGTCTGTTTTGGGGGTTGGTTTTAGGCCTCATTTTTCAGGTTTTTTGGGGTTTTTTTGGGTGGTTTTGAAGCTGGTTTGGGGGTTTTTGTTGAGCTTCTTTGGTGGTTCAAATGGCCTTTCCAAAAGAGTTGCTCTGTAACGGTCTTTGGGGGATGTTGGTAACAGTTTCAGGGCTGAGTTTGGAGGTTTTTCGGTAGGTGTTGGGTCTGTTTTGGGGTTGGTTTTAGGCCTCTTTTTTTAGGGGTTTTTTGGGTGGTTTTGAAGCTGGTTTGGGGGTGTTTGTGGAGCTTCTTTGGTGGTTCAAATGGCATGTCCAAAGGGGTTTCTCTCGTAAGGGTTTTTAGGGGCTATTGGTAATTATTTCAAGACTGAGTTTCGGGGCTTTGGGTAGGTGTTGGGTCTATGGACTAAGCAAATAAGACCAAGACACAAACTTTGCTGCAGTAGTTGTCTTTTGTAATTTAATTTTGCTATTCAACAATTTATGATTAATTCTTGACCAAGCTAGCAAACATTGAAATTTGAGAAGAGATCCCTCAAAAATGGATTGCAAGTAACGAGGTATTAGAACACATATCTCACGTTTAATAATTAAATAAAAAATAATTAATATATAAAGTTGAAAAGATACCCCACCTTTACTAGTTAAATTTACATTTTTAGCGCAATATATGTAATACATTTATTAACCAGGTTATGCAATTCGATTCATGATAAATAATAATAATAATAATAATATGGATGCTGACAAAGATGATGATGGCCTACAAGCCTAATTAATTATGAGAACTAAACCGAGGATACTTAAAAAAATTGTACAAGTAGATTAGCCTAAATTTGCTGTTTAATTAATAACCTGGATTAAAGAAACCTATTCTTAGTTACCTTATAACTATCAAGAACTTCTTGGTTTTTCAATTTCTATACTCCTGGAGAGAACGTCCTCAGCTTGGTGCTCTCTTTTTTAATACTCATCTATTATTTATAATAGCAAATTAAGTTTATTAATTGATATTATGTATTAACCAAAAAACTTAAGGTTTGTAGCAAATGATTATATTTCAACTGTATATATTATTTATTTATTATTTATTTATTCGATATGGAATAAGTTACTTCAAGTTTTTAATAATAGTTTTTTTTCTTCATTAGCATTATTATACCACAAAAAAAAAAAATCATCCAAAAGCATAGATTATATAGTCCTGAGCAAATATTTGATTTCGTCTACTATTAAATCCAAGTAGGATTCCAATTTTCCATTTTGAAAACGGTACTTTCAGTCCCAAGAAACATGGAAACATCCTTTTTTTTTTTTTTTTTCCCAATAAGATTCAACGTGGTTCACAAATTCCAAACAAATAATAAATAATATGTGTGCGCGCTGGTGGTTTAGGTGAATTTTTTTTTTTTTCATTTAATTGAGAATTCTTCAGTGAATCATTCGAATATTCAGTTTTGAATTCGAATAATTTGAAATTGTATTACAAAACTCTTCAAACCATATCCAAAACAGACCCCCCAAAAAAATTCAGATTTCGGGTTTGACCGAAAAAAATCCGAATACACACCTTTTTGTTTTTTTTTTTTTTTTTTTTTTTTTTTTTTTTTATGGATGCAGGCCAATTCTGTTTCCATCCCAATTTTTTCTCTTCTATAATACTCATCTTTTTTCTAAGATTTTAATTGACTAGCTGTTACATTTATTGTATGAGCTGCTTTTACTGTTTCGCAAGAATTGTTAGTAAGAATATATATTTACAAGTATCAACCTCCTCTCCTAGAGTCTTTTGCAACTTGTACATAATTAACTTCATAGACATTAACTGTGCTAGCTATATATTTCTTAGTAATCCAGCACTTATGTGGTTGAGAAAAAAAAAATCTTAATGTTTGTAATTAATCGTAGGAGTTCGTCTCTCTCCCTATCGCTCCTAAATTATCCTTGTTTAAATAGAAAAAAATTTAAATATTTGATAATCAGAACTTAAAGCTTCTTATTGTACAAAAAAAAAAGCGAGACAAACATCTTCATGCAATATATAAAATTAGAAGGCTTTCAATAATTTTGGGTTACTTGGATTGGGTGAGGAAGACATGGGTATGTATACTAGCTACTGGAATCATGATCGCCCTTTCTTCGTTGCTGTATTCTCCATTTGGTCAAGATCAATATGATTTTCATTTGAGCTTAGAAATAGCTTGCCTGCAAGTTAAAGGGACAAAAATGTCTAGAAAATGAAAGATAAAAACTATCATTTTTTCAAATTCATTCAAAGCAAGAAAATGATTCTCTTGAAATAAAATTTATTTGGTGATAAGTTCCAAGAATAAGCCTTGAGGAATAAATCAGTGGTAAAAAAAGGTTTTCAGACAATATCCATATAAATTTATTAATTTTATAATTTAAATAGATCTACACGTATTTTCACTCTTGGTATTAAGCTAAAATGAAAATATATATAATTTTTTTTAAAAAAGATAAATCAGTACAAATATGATACCATTAAAAGATAACTATGACTAATTATTTATAATAGTGAGAATTGAATTTTAATTTTAATTATATCAAAATATTTTTTTTATCATTAAATCACATTTCTTTAATGGTAGGTAACTATTTAATTACAATATGGTTCACATAAAACGTTCAAGTAACCTCTTTTCCCAATAAGTTGTACGAGAAAGAATTAAATAGTTGTTGAACTTTGCAGTTAAATAGATGCGTATGTATCAATCTAATCGATCGGAGTCTCTATTTTTAGACATAAAATGTTCAATTTTCCAGTAAGTTCTAAAATAATAATCAAATATTCTTCAATAAGTTCCAAGAGTACGAATTAAATATTTTTTTACGCAATTACAAAGAATTTTTTTAAAAAATAAATAATTGTGATGTAATCTCTTCTTCATAGGAATAAAATTATATATATATATATATAAAATCAGAAACAAATGCAACTACCATTTTAAGATCATTTTGTATTTCCCATTTCCAACCAGTATTACAAGTTAAATGTGAGTGTCTATCTACATACATATACATGTCACAACCATCAAATTATATAGGAAAGTTCAATTAGTGTGATTCTAAAAGCGAAAACAAAGAATGTAATTAGGGTGAATAATAATGTATGAGTACGAATACGAATGTGATAAGGATATTAACTTCTTTTTTTCTTTTTTTACAACGGATATTATCTTTTGTTATGATAAAAAAAATCTTAGTACTTTTGTATGATACGGCGTGCACAATATGGCATACGAATTTATGTTATATATTAGGTCATTCTTTTTGAAAATTCAGATTTTATTTGTGCAAAAAGCTCCCTCCCGGGGCAGATTTAGGGGTCCATCCTTATTCCCTAATACTTAAAAAAAAATCATTTTTTTAAAATATGAAATCAGTGTATATTTTTCTGCTTCCATTATATGTAAATATTTTTTTTAAAAAAAGCATTCACGTTAGAGTGTAGTGCTCTTGATAAATTTTATTTTAGCATCGCATCAATCTCTATATATATCTTACTAGCTAGGATTTGATTTTAACTAGTTTAATTTCTTAATATCTCTACAATGGTAGTCATTTGTTGGATTTAGATAGCCTACCAGGCTATTATGAACAAGAAATCTTCTGCCTTCAGATATACAAGCAAAGGAAGCAATCTATCAGCGTATTTTCAAGTCCAGCCATATGTTTAGTTAAGCTCTCTTGTAACATAATAATAACGTGGAGAGGTAAACAATCACTTCCTTATTACACATCACAGTCGTACGGTATGCTGTATATAGCAGTATAGGGATAGAGAAATGCATATAGCACTTCCTTATTATTACATATTAACTATATATGGAACATATGAGAAATTTTCGGAGTGTTTACACTGAAGGGTCCGTCCATGTTTGAGTCTGGAGATCCTCCACAAGTTTTCTATCCAAATGGAATGCGGTGGTGAGAACTTCAGGATTAATAGATGGAACGGCTCCAAAAACTGCATTTGCTACTGTGTTTAATCCTGGATTTTGACTTGAAAATGCAGCAATAGCAACTGCAGGAGTTTTTCCGACATTCATTTGAAAGTGAAGGAGGCCAACTGGAAACGCAAAGAGGTCTCCTGCTTTTAGAGTCTTGGCAAATAAGCGATGATCAGGGTTTGACGTGACAAAACCAGCATAAAGAGTGCCTTTCAAAACCAGTAGAATCTCCGATGCTCTAGGGTGATAGTGTGGAGGGTTTAGGCCACCATTTGGTTCATAATCTATGCGTGATAAAGATACGCCAAGAGTGTTAAGCCCTGGCCATACATCCTCATAAACAACAGTAATGTGTGCTCTAAGTTGATTTGAGGTGTTTCCAGGAACATTAAGTCCAGAATAGAAGAAATCATCAGGGGTGACAAGGCTTGGATTCTTGCAGAATTTTCCATTAACAAACACTGCATACACAAGCAAAGTGCTATTAATTGCCAAATAAATTCATAATGAATGAAATATATTAGTTCGTAACTTAATAATTCTGAAGAAAAATATTGCATGATCCTAGATCATTAAGAACCCCATAACATATTTTATGTGCTCCACTATTGTGCTCGTAGAACTCCACCAATACTGAAATTCTAAACTCATGCTGAATCGATCTGTGTCATGAAATTAGATAAAGGATTAAAAATGAAAAAGAAAAGAAAAAAATCTGTATATACCAGCAGAGTTAGGATCATTCATTCCTACACAGAAGTCTTGGAGGGGGCTGGGGTCATAGGCAGTGGCAAATGAGGACGCCAGAGCCATGAGAGCAAAAGCTACTAGCAAATTAGCAACTTTCATCGTGGTTTTTTTCCTTTTTTGTTTTTTGGATTGCTATCTTCCATGCAAAGCATGAGTATTTATAGACGAGTTATCATTTGTAATTTAATTTTGTTATTCAACAATTTATAATTAATTCTTGACCAAGCTAGCAAACATTGAAATTTGACAATTGTATGTGTTAGAACATATGACATATTGAATAGTTAAACTAATAACGAGATAATATATAAAGTTGAGAAGGGCTACCCACCATAAGCCTTAAGTCTTTTGGATGGAACCCAATCTCAACTATTTAACTTAATATGGTATCGAGCCTCAAAGAGGCCCAACAGACCCAAGCAAATATCCTGGAGCCCAAGCCACTTGACGGACCCCAAAAGATGGGCTGCAAGTGAGGGGGAGTGTTAGAACACATTTCATATTAAATAGTTAAATCAATAACAAATAATATATAAAGTTAAGAAGGGGCCACCCACCATAAGGCTTAAGTCTTTTGGATGGAACCCACTCTCAACTATTTAACTTAATAGTATGCAATATATAGGCACATATCTTATATTAAATAATTAAATAAAAAATGATTAATATATAAGGTTAAGAAGGGATCACTCATCATAAGATTTAAGTCTTTTGGATAGAACTCAATTTCAACTATCTAACTCTATATGGTATCGAATTTCAAAAAAGTCTTACGGCCCATGAAATATCCCGAAGCCCAAGCCATTTGACAACAAAAAATGGAAGGTAAGTGAGAAGAAATATTAGAGAACATATCTTCTATTAAATAGTTAAACAAATGATTATTAATATATAGAGTTGATAAGGGGGCACCTATCATAAAGGTTTAAGTTTTTTGGATGGAACTCAATCTCAATTATCTAATTTTATATGGTATTAAAGCTTCAAAGAGGCTCAACGGCCTAATAAAGATCTTGGAGTCCAAAACACGTGATAGATCCCAAATGATGAACTGCAAGTGAGGGAGAGTGTTAGAACACATATCTCACGTTGAATAGTTAAGAAAAAGATGAATAATATATAAAGTTGAGAAAGGAACATCCACTACAAGACTTAAATCTTTTGGATGGAACCAATCTTAACTATCTAATTCTATCCGGTATCATAATCTCAAAGAAGTCCAACGGCCTATGAAATATCCTAGAGTCCAAGCCATATGACAAATCCCAAAAGATGGACTGTAAGTGAGAATGAGTGTTAGAAAACTTATCTCTTATTAAATAGTTAAATCAAAGATTATTAACATATAGAGTTGAGAAGGAGTCACCTACCATAAATGTTTAAGTCTTTTGGATGAAACTCAATCTCGGCTATTTAACTTTATATAGTATCGGAGCCTCAAAGAGGTCCAACTACCCAAGTAAAGATTCTGAAATTCAAACCATGTGACAAACCCTAAAAGATGGGCTAAAAATGAGGAAGAGTGTTAGAACATATATTTCACGTTGAATAGTTAAAGAAAAGATGAGTAATATATAAAGTATAAAAAGGATTATCCACTACAAGGCCTAAGTCTTTTGGATTGAACCAATCTCAACTATCTAATTCTATATGGTCCAACGACCTAGTAAAGATCCTAGAGTCGAAGCCACTCGACAAACTCTAAAAGATAGGTTGCAAGTGAAGGAGTGTTAAAAAATATATCTCACATTGAATAGTTAAACAAAAATGATTAATATATAGAGTTAAGAAAAAAATTACCCACCATAAGGCTTAAGTTTTTTAAATAGAATCTAATCTCAATTATCTAACTCTATATGGTATCGAGTCTCAAAGAAGTCTAATGACCCATTAAAGATTTTGGAGCCCAAGCTACTTGACGTACCTAAAAAGATGGGTTATAAATGAGAGGAAGTGTTAAAGTACATAACCGACATTGAATAATTAAATAAAAATGGTTAATATACAAGGTTAAAAAGGAGTCACCCCTTATAAGGCTTAAGGTTTTTTGAATAAAACCCAATTTTAGTTTATCGTATACCTACCCTAGTTAAATTTACATTTTTAGCGCAATATATGTAATAAATTTAATAACCGAGTTATGCAGTTCAATTAATAATAATAATAATAATAATAATAATAATATGGATGCTGAAGAAGATTATAGTGGCCTACGAGCCTAATTAACTATGAGAACTAAACCGAGGCTACTAAAAAAATTATACGAGTACTCTGTATTGGCTTAAATTTGTCGTTTAATTAATTACGTGGATTAAAGGAAACCTAGTCTTAGTTGCCTCATAACTATCAAGAACTTCTAGATTTTTCAATTTCTATACTTGGTGCTCTCTTTTTTAATACCCATCTATTATTTATGATAGCAAATTAAGTTTGGTAGTTGATATTAAGTTTTAACTTAAAAGTTTAAGGTTTGTAGTAAATGATTATTTTTCAATTGTATATATTATTTATTTATTCAACATGAAAAAAGTTCAAGTTTTTAATAGTAGTTTTTTTTCCTCATTAGCATTATTATATCAAACGAAAAAAAAATTCATCCAAAAGCTTAGATTAATCCCATTTACATCCTTTTTTTTTTTTTTTGCCAAATAAAATGTTCAATCAAGTTAATGAAATTAGTCCCTTCTATTGAATGAATTTTTTGGTTTGGGTACACAATTGACAAGTTACACAAGTTCGAGTGCTTGCTTAAGAGAGAGATAATAAAATAGAGTACAACCGGTTTTTGACTTGCATTTAGCGCGTAACGTTAGGTCGTCAAATATGTCGATTCTTATCGAAAAATTTTATAATACTCAAAAAGTAATTAGTATAAGTTATTTTATAGAGAGAAAGATAGACACAAACAGGAGAGAGAAATAGGAGAAAGAAAATTAAGAAAATATTGAATCAATATGGAGATCTCGCTTATCACTTTTGATGGGTTCGGATGTCATTCTTTCTCTCTCTCTTTTTTTTAATATGTCTATTTATCTCTTAAAAAGTAGGTCTATGGAATAACTACTCTATATGTTCACTAATTACTTCTTGAGTATCATAAAATTTCTCGATTCTTACCCCTCTTTCTTCATTTCTTGCAATGGAAATTGTTTTATTCTCTCGTGTTGCTTGTCTTTTTCTTATGTTTTTTTTCTTTTTTCTTTTTAAGACTTGTTGAATCTTAATTATTTCCCATCATTTAATGCTAATCAAATAAACTAAATAAATTAAAACTCAAATTTATTTCATTATGAAAAGTTATTATATACATATAACATACTCGTTAGGCTATGTATATTGAAAAATTTTATAATATTTAAAGAGTAATTAGTATACATGTATAATAATACCTAGTAACTAGTGTATACTTGATAGTGCTTAAAACATATGTTTAAATGGCTAAATTCGCCCGCATTTTAATATTTTGGGATGTCTAAATGATAAAACTTAACTATCTTTTGTATTCTAGGTGCTCGGTGTGGAATTGACTAAAAAATGGAGTGAAAAGAAGCATATAAAGAGAATTTATGATCAAAACCAATTCAGCCATTGGAAAGCACAAGAAGCGTGGGCATGTTAAGTTTATTAGCGTGGCCACGCTAATACAGCAAACGTGGACACACTAGCACAAGAAACGTGGGAACGTTAAGAATAGAAGCATGGCCACGCTAATACAACAAACGCGGACATACCAAGATAAGAAACATGGGCATGTTAAGAATAGAAGCATGGGTATGCAGATACAGCAGACATAGACGCACAAGGACATGAAGGCGTGGGCACGTTGTAACTTGATCAAGCACGCTGAAATCTATAGAAACGTACAACAGAGTTGCGTAAAGAAACAAAAATTATTACGATTTGCCGTGAAAAGACGCCGACCTACCAAAAGAGGAGAAAATATTATATACCCTTTTTGAAAAATAGACACCTTGTATAAATAGGAACCTAGCAAGGTTAGGGTAAAGAAAATTTTTGATTATTCTCGGAGGAGGCATCCTTATTTCTCTCTCTCCTTAGCTATGCAGTCGCCATGAGCGACTAGACTCTTTTCCTTGGTGAAGGTAATCGAAGCTTTTGGAAATCAAAGATTTTGAGGTACTTAAACATTAATATAAATCAGTTCGTTTATCTCAAGTATTGAACTTTCTTCTATGCTTATGTCATGCTTATTTGGGTTAATTTCTAATGTGTACGATTGGTTTAGTAACTTAGATAATCTATAGCTAGATCGAATATTGAATCCGTAATTGTTCAATCCCTTTGATTTGTGTAGCAACTAGGAGTGTATGGTTTGTCGCGTCGGTAACTAATGACTCTTAAGAGGATTGTTCAACTAGATTAAATGCAACTACATATGTTGTGTTGTCTTGCTTTTTTGATCTTTCTAATACATAAAGCTATTGTTTGATTAAATCTTAGATCGTATCTAGTGGTTGTTAAATAATGAGGGTTGATTAGAATACATGTTTCTAGTTGACTAATCGTAAGGAAAGATTGATTTCAATATCATAACAAATATTTGAATGGGAATATGATATTTCGTGCACCAAGGATAAATCTCAAGTTCCAAAAGTGAATGTGACCCGAACCAAGGTTTGTTTACTTGAATATTTACTTTAAACTCATTTTCTGAATTTAATTTATTTAGTTTCAGTTATATCTTAATCAAATCAAAACCTCCCTTTTTATTTATTTTATGCCTTTTCTAGACTTGTGATGACTAACGCGATTGAATTCCTCATGGGATCGATCCATATTCTCCCTTACTACATTTATGTTATAGGAGTTAGGAGTTTAATTTAGGTGCACATGACAAGACAACACCAAATTTTGGCATAGTTGTTGGGGAATTCACGGTTGTTTATATACGTTATAGTGGTCTAACAATAGCTGAAAACCTACCTGTTTGACCCGTAAATAGAACACACAAGCACGAAGTCTTAGGAAAGCCACGTAGCGACAGCGTGCCGATGCCATTACTCAACGAATAGAACAACAGAACAGAGCAACCAAGCACTCGCTAAAATCATGAAGAACGCACCTACAAACGAACACTA